AGTAGGTCCAGCTGGATTACCAGGACCTAAAGGAGACATGGTATTGTTCTTTTATATTAGAGCTTTATATGTACCAAAAATATTTCATATTTAATTTAATATCGTCATATTTAATAAAATATCTTTATATATTAATTTTCCAGGGGACAACTGGTCCTTCAGGTCTAAAAGGAGACATGGGTCCTGCCGGTCAACCAGGGCAAGAAGGACCTTTAGGTCCTAAAGGAAATCCAGGACCAGAAGGAAGACCGGGTCTTCCAGGTCCACCGGGCTTACCGGGCCCACCGGGACCACCAGCACCTATGCCGCAGCTACCTGCTGAACTATTCAGGACAAGGAACCGGAGATATATTAATGAGGACTATGAAGCAACAACTGATGATAATTTGGAAGAAGGTACAATCCTTTTTTTTCATAATTATATCTTTTTAACTGAGTAAAACCTTTGTTTATTATGTAAATAAAAGTTTAGGAAGGATGTGGTGAGCTTCCTCAAACTTAAAGGGTGGATGATCGACCAGTCTAACCACTGCCTGGAGCCCTAAAGCCCCAATGGCTATGACAAAATGTTGTATATCCTCAGCGATCGGAATAACTTTGTTTGGAAGGACATTTAAGGATATCACAACTTCATAGTGGGAGCGCCACTCCGTAGTTAATTAAAAAAAACTTCATATAAATTCCAGAAGAATAAATATTGTAAAGTACCTTATTCCTTCTCCTACTTCTATACATACATATAGACTGCAAGCAAATTTGTGTAGTGTAAAAGTAAAATTGCAGAAGAAATAGAATGGACCCGCGAAGTCATGGCTGGTGTAATATCAGCCAGGTCCACCCTAGAAGCTTCCAAACGACCCTGGGGCACGAGAAATAATCCAGCTCTATCTTGTCGTGATTTAAGGGATTCTCATTCGAATCTTACCGACGGTAAGTTTTTATCGCCATAACCAAATACAAGCAGTACTTCATTTTCTCAAAAAATTTGACAGTGCAAAATAATTTAGCTAATTTGCAGCAATACACGAATAAATACCAAAATGAAATTGAGAAACACATAGGTATCATATTTAGATCTTATTTCGTAATTTACATAAATGGCGTGGAAATATAGAGCAATTGGTTTTTCATAGATCTTTTAAGGATAGCCTACAGCCACGGAGGCGGTATTGTCCTACGGCCTAATAAAGCGTAAAATAAAGTTTCGGTGGTCAAAGTCAAAGTCAAAAATCATTTATTCATATAGGTAACAGAATGTACACTTACGAACGTCAAAAAAGAAATATACATTAATTGCTTCTGATTTTACATTTACTGCCAGTTCTCAAATCAAGGGCGTAGAACGGAAGAGAAGAACTGGTAATTAACTCTCTGCCACTCTTTTTAATCCAAGTTTTTTTGTTTAACACAACTTTTGTAAGGGGCTGCAAGATTTGTTCTCTATTAGCAGGAGGCATGGTGAAATAGGAGCACGCACTTACATTCTCGTGGGAACAATACGCATTTTTTAATAATTATATTTACGGTATTTATTTATATATACTACCACCAATATTTATATTATGGGCTAGGGTAGGACGTATGGTTTTTTGCCTGTTTTTACATTTGGATTTGTATTTTTTATTTAGATGTTGGCTACCTATGCTAAATGAATTTCCATGCAAAAAAATTGTATGGTAATAAATATCGTAAAAATTTTAGTCCATTTATTTTGAGAACCTTAAATAATTTTAACACACAGATATATTATACAGTTTTACTAAAAAAAAATTTCTTTGTTTTGTTTTTATATATCTTATATGTTAAGCCATAAGTAGATCTCTAGAAGGCCAGCTTTGAGAAGTTATAAAATTTGTCTACAGGGTTCTATTGGATTGACGCCAGAGGTGGAACTGCGAGGCCGATCCGTGCTTATTGCAAGGGACATAGTACATGCATTTACCCTGACAGCATTGATCAAACTGTGTTTGAATCTGACGGACATAAATTTTCTCATATTAATAATGGATTTAAGGTATGCTTTGATTACAATATTACATTTATGTCGCGTGAATTTCAGGCGACTTTTTTTTTTATATAGCTGTTCCAGACATTGGGCACGAAGAGGAAAGTTTATAGTTTTTAATCTACAATAAATGGTTTTTGGTGAAAGATTGGATAAGTTTCCGTTTATTTTCGTCCCATCTCGATAGAATGTACCTAGCCTATTTAAATTATATTGATGATATTTTGACTTTAATTGCATGCATCCTTATTGAAAAGAAAGATAATTAAAGCTATTCTTTAATAATATTAAACGCTCACCTGTAGAATATTTATTTGAGAAATAGGGAATTTATTATTTAATTAATAGAACGATTAATTACAGCCCACGTTTATGATTTGTGATGTAATTATTACATACTTCATTGCGCACTAAAAATTAATATTACGTATTATTATAATAAAAATATTATACGTATTTCTTTAGATCTCCTATAAAGCCGAAGGGGAAGGGATGATACAACTACGATTTTTGCGCCTACTATCCAACAGCGCTAAGCAAAATTTTACATACTTTTGCGTTACAACTAAAATGTCCCAAAGGTATGTATAATTCTGTCTAAGCTTCCTTAAGTGTGTTCACATCTTTCTGCATTTCTTTCTCTATAGACAAGTACGACCCTTAGGTTGTGCGTTCCAATCACGGTTGTGCACCGATGGATTTTTTATTTAACATAAGGTTATACGGTAAAGAACAACTTCCTCAGAAAACGGACAGTCTTAGCCCCAAAAATCAGCATGTGATAGGCACAAACAAAATGATCAAAGAGCGGATGCAGTCCGAGGCCAAAACCCGTATAGGATAGCACAACTAGTCCAGTTAGTGATTAGCTTTAAGTGTCCAGAGATCTTCACTGTTTTCTTTCAACTTACGCAAAATAAGGGTTAAATTAAAACATAAAAACACATTTTTTTATTTACATGTACTAGAATAAAATTTATGTTACAAAACACAAAAATTACTATAATAATACACACTTCGTTATTCGTCAACGCTCAAGTGACTGATGGAAAGTTTAGAATTTTAATTAATAATAAAATCCTAAAAAGGTATTATAAGTATATAAGTTATAAATAATGATTATGGTTAAATTTATATTCAACTTATTAAATGTTGTATTATTTCTTTGTAGATCTGACATTCCGGCAGATTTGTTGCGGTCGAATAATATCAAGCTGTTCGGACAAAATGCGATTGAGTTCCCGAAACCTCAAATAATACAGGACAGTTGCGTGGTAGGTTTGATCACATATATATATCTTATAGCTATATTCAGATTGCTGGCATAGGTTTAAGCAAATAATGTTCAAAATATAGTGGAAATGGAAATCCGAGAAATCTAATCAACGCATACAAGCTAACCTACCGTATTAAATTAGTAAATTTAGTTTATAGATTCAAAGGGAAAATCTTCGGAACTGTCTTAGAATAGGTCCGCAAAAGGCAGTTTAGAACTTTAAACTCGTATATTTATAGTAATCAATATTCAATGCGTACATTAAGTGTTCAATACGTTATTAAAAAATACAGATACATAATTCTACCACTAATAGTGCCATCTCGTGAAGGTTAATGCGAAACTTATTTTTCCTTTTGATTTGTATGAAGAAGTAAGTTAATACTTATAATCTATATTTACAGGAGGGAGTTGGAGAGATAGTTCTAGAAATGAAAACTTCCCGAAGTGACAAACTGCCCATAACAGATTTTCAACCTTTGTCGTTTATAGACGCACAACACGAGTTCTCCTTTAAGCCAGGACCTGTATGTTTCACTTGATATTTGTAAATAATGATGTATTTTTGTACTTAGCTCGGACCTTTGTATATGTTGTAAATAAAATGTTGTTACAGAAATGTTTTATGTATTTTATCCTCGAACATTGGCTGACAAAAAATCCGATTTTACTAATTTAGAATTTGAAGCCTAAACTTTTAAAACAAAAGCTAAAGAGCTAGATTTTGACTCAAGATTTAAGTCGATAAATTTATAAAAATTTATTTGCCATTAAAGGTGTTAGAAAAACACATTAGTTCCAACTTTGTATTTAATAAAAAAATTACTTTATCGGACGCGATCGGATTTATTTTTACATAATGCCTAATTTTTGAATAGAGATGGAGGATATGAAACTTAAGCCTAAACAAACACAATATAATAAAAAGAAAATATAAATTTTATTAGAAAGTGGTAACCACTTACAATTGGCATGTATGTAAAAACGTGGGATGTTTATGGAATATTACCTAAAAAATTAAATACACAGACTATTTTAAATATTATATTGATAATTTTTAAACTTACCTGTTTAACTACCTACAACTTATACAATGATTGTGCTAATTTGTGATGAAGTCACATAATAGCAAATAGTTATTATATTTAATTTAAATGTCCATATCCATTTAAGTATTACATTTAATAAACAATGTCAATAATATTTATTGTGTTCAATCTGATCAGTCTCAGTTTTATAATTTTTATTAAATATCAGAAATTGCTTCCATCTTTTTTAAACTACAAGCCCATGAAAAAAAATACCTGTGAAATGAAAATAACTCTGAGCACTATGCCGTCATTTCTGAGCGGTACATGTGAGTACGTGAGCGAATGTAATTTCTCAGGTACAAATGAGGAATTTCGACTAATTATTAATGTAATTTAAAACTATCGTCGAATTAAAACTTTGCACCGACTTCCGGCACCATCACTTTAGTACGGCACTAGGTTTTTCGACATTTATTTTAATCATATACACTATAACAAAGCCGTACATTAATAATTAGTCGAAATTCCTCATTTGTACCTGAGTAATTCCATTCACTCACGTACTCACATGTACCGCTCAGAAATGACGGCATAGTGCTCAGAGTTATTTTCAGATATAGTAACAGCCTTCTAAGCCTTATTCACGTTGCTTCGTTTCACAGGTATGTTTTTTACATGGGCTTGTAGTCTATTTGGGATCTTCACGTTTTTTATCAATTATATTATTACCTTGTGTAATGTGTTTTGAACAAGTTTCGACAATCAAAATATTGTTTTCTAAATTCTCACAACCGTCGTTAGATTTTGGGACAGCTTCAGATTCATTTTTATTAAAGTTATCTCTCTGCTTTCCCTCAGTATTCATTAAGGAATCAACCACATCTTTAGCAACGTTCTCATGGCCGTGATCTATGTTTGTAACATTTTCGATGTTTTCAAAAATTTTAGTACATATGTCTGAAATAATAGTTGAGTTTTCATCATTAGATAGAATATTGTCAGCTTTGGTTGTTGAATCATTAGTGTGATTATAGTTTTTTTCATGTTCAGTGTTATTTAATTGCACATTCGAACAATCTTTAACCAATTTAGTTTCGACATTACTTTTAACTACAGTCGCTGTTAGATCCATTTTTTCCACAGGAATGTCAGACTGTATGTTTACCGTTTCAACGTCGCCATTACAATCCCTATCTTCTACATTGATAGTCTTATTTGACGTTGCATCATTAAAATTCTTTAGAACATTAACATCCGTACCTACATCAGTTTTATTGATTTTTGTCGTATTATCCTTCTCTGTATGAATAGCATCTGTAAATTTGTCATTTATTTCATTATCAACTTGATTACTTGTTATATTAATGTCTGTGTCATTCATCTTTACATCTATATGTTCAACCGTCATTTCGATGTTGTCTTCGTCTACAATTTCTCTATCTCTATCTGTCCTCACATCAGACTCAGTCATTCCTAAATCATTATGTGTACTTGGTATTTCAAGTTCAAAATTACTCTTCTCTGCATCCAGGGATATACCTTCGCTCGTTTCAATATTAGTTTTCTTTATTGTTTCAATCTCAGTACTACTCTTGGGTATAATGTCAGCGTCATGTATTACCACATCTATGTGTTCTTTTGTCATTTCCATTTCGACATTATTCTTAGCTATATTAAAAGGTTTATCCGTAGTTGCAACATCATAAGTCCCCATTTCCACACCCATATCTATATCTGTTTGTATTTCAGTATTACACTTCTCTTTACCAATGAGCTGATTAGTACTAGTAACTTTGACATTGTTCGATTCATCCTTAACGAGTCCAATAATCGTTTCAGGTGCTATACTTTCCTCACATTTTTGGGTTTGTTTATCTTTTACTTGAACTTGAGCGTAATTTAACTTCTCAGTATTTTTAACCATCGTTTTGGTCTCATACGAATTCTCTTTTCCAATAGGTTTATCTGTTGTAACATCTGCAACGTTATTGATCCCTACATTTACAGTTATTTCAGTTCCATGATTTGAATTATCATTTATAATAGCAATATCATCATTATTACTTTCATCTACATTATTCGAGCTTTCTTTTGGACATACTGGACTGTTTTTTCCAATTTCATCCTTAATAGCTAAAAGCTCTTGAATATCTTCCGTTATATCTACGGTGAGATACTCTTTATTGTTACTTTCGTCGTCTCTAAGAATCGAATCATTGCTTAGCACAATATCCATTTGAGCAGGACAGATGTTAGACTCATCAGGCCTGTCTATACAATTTTCTGATTCTGAGTAACTTGAGTCTTCAATACTGATCACATCACTGTTAATCACTTTAGGGGAATTAGGTTCATTGTCTGAATCAGTGAGGCTAATTGGCGAATCAGAGTCGGATTCCGAATACAATTTTTTCAAAAGACTAGATTCATCTATATTAGATGAATCTAATATAATAGTATCAGCCTCAATATTCGTTTCTTCCAACTTAAGTTTTATCTTTTTCTTAATTGGTAAAACATTGCTTTCATTATCATCCTCTTCATCACTTTCAAGTGGTGACTCTTCCGCTTCTTTATCACCGATTACTTCAGGTTCCAAATTAAGCTGATTCTGCCTATCAACATATCTGAAAGTATTGGACGATAAATAAATCTACCAGTTATAATTTATATAAGTATTATACATACTAACTTTATCAGCAGCGCATAATACTGACTAATTTAAAAAAACATAATATACTCTAATATTTTTTTCCAGTAAATTAAATATTCGTAAAAATAAAAATTGTTTGTTTAGGTGCTACCCTATTTTTATTTATTAACAATATATAAAAATTACCTACATTATTATTAATATACTCACTTGTTTAGAATATATGTTTCATTACGTTTTGCCAGCAATTTATTTTCGTCTAATTTCTTCTTAAGCTCATCATTATTTTCAGCAGGATCTTCATTAACAGGCAACCTTGACGCAGCTATTCTCCATTCATTTTCTTGTCTTCTTCTCTTTAGTTTTTTCCCACAAAATATGAATAGTTCGCGTGCTGTAAACGATACATATCAATAATAATAAAAAGGAAAATAATAAAAGGAGTAATAGGAAAAGTATTGTATTTTAGAAACTCTTGGCTCAGGGAAAGCTTTAACAATATTTTTTTGTAAATTAAATATGATATATTATTATATACTAATTAATTAAATTCTTTTGGAATTATACAAATAACGGTCGGACAGCCAAAACAGCCAAAAAATTTAAAATTAAAAAAACCTGCCTAGGAAGAAATGCGTCCTTAGCTCGAACAGTTATAATCCATTACCCAACCCAAAAATATGTTTAAAAGCATATACAGTCAAAACCGTTTACGATGACATCGTTTAGAAAGACATACCGGTTATATTGACCAGAATCAAAGGCCCCGGCTGAATTCTATTGTATTAGGTACTTAATAACAACGTCATCGGCTGTTACGACTATCGGTTTCTACTACCAAATATGAGTAGTCCCTTCGATGTCGTTATAACAGATTTTGACTGTAATATATAAATAGAAACCACCGATAAACAATAATATACATGATCCCTAACGACTTCAGCCAGGCAACGATCGTTATACCTTCTTCTAAAATTTCCATTTCACTCCAGCCCAACTTATCTTCAGCATTTGCCTCTCTCACGCAACGTAGTACATCATGAAAATCGGGGAATGGTAGTGCTTTACCAATGGGCACTTTTTTATTAATCCATTTCTCAAGTCTTGCTGCTGGTCCTTTTGGCCGGCCAGCCTGAGTTTCCAGCTTAATAGATGGCTCAGACGGCATCTTAGTTTGTGTTAATTGACAGAACTTTGCATGAACACGAAGAAATCTCTCTTTGTACCTGTAATTAAAAACTACGACTTAAAATATTTAGGTATTTTGTTAAATATAATAATTTAAGCATATGTTAACCGGAAAGAAAAACGAATCATCAATTTCGTAAGACAAAAAACACAATTGGTACCAAAATTGTGCAGTTTATACAAGCTGCCCTAGTCTTTTCAGAGTTTGAACAATCCCATTTTTTTCTATTTTTATTATGATATGCAATATAGACAATAGTCATATATGCTTTTTTTAATATCTTTTCAATAAAAAGGTAGGTTGTAAAATGATACATAAAATTGTAAACCGAATTAAAATCCAAAAGGATTTGAGACATCTAAAGCTTATGCTTATTTCAAAACAGTGGCCTACTACGATATGGTAATTGCTTCCTCATGTCCAAAAACGCTGCAAAATATACTTAAGACTAAACTTAAGATGAAAGACTTGAGAAGATAGCAACAATTGCTTGGCATTGTTGCTTCAATATAAAGACGATGCCAAATTAGACCAAGATACTTTCAATCAAAACTGCTTAAAGTAATTTAATATGAGAAAGGCTAAATACCTCCTACACCTATAAAATACTCACAAAGAATAAATTTGTAAAAACCATAGTCCATACAAAAATCTAGTCGGTACTTGTATGTATACTCGCAATAGCCACAAGACCAAATATGATGTTTACCATTAATTATTTATTTTAAATTTAGTCTGAATTTAGTAGACATCATAGGAAAGCACAAAGAGGGTACTGCGATACTTAAAAGGAATTGAAAGTGTAAACTCAATATTATGAATATCAATATGATTTACATGAGATAGCATTGATGGCAGATTCACACTGGAGTGTCTATAAGCTACAGAGGAAAAGTTTTCGGGATTCCGTTTGTCAGGATGTCAATGAATCAACGGAGCGTTAAACTTTCAACAGCGGAGGCTGAATTCGTTGCCCTTACAGAATCTGCAATGGAAGCGATATCTTTAAAATCCTTGTTCAGCTTTCGAAATGGGAACAAGTACTTTACAGTACTGAATGTTAACCAAGCAGCATTAAAGCTATCAAAACGATATGGTTACATCAAAATCTAAAGATATCGAGTTGAAGGTATTTCATCCCTGTTTAAATACAACAGGTTGTGATAGAAGTGAGTACATGTGTACTGAACATACAGGAGGAGGTATTCTGACAATCCAGCTGCCTGGACTACAGAATTTAAGAACAAGCATGGAAATGTCCTTGGTTATAACACCACGAAGAGGAGCCTTAATGGATGATTTATAAATAAAAAAGAATTGAATAGATATTGCCTTATGATAAAAAAAATAATGGTTTCAGGGATATTTATTTTATCTAATAAACTTAATTAATTTTGACATACTGTTTGCTTGCTTCTTACTTTATGTGTCAATCAAACCTGATCAGCAAGATTATTCCTCGAGCTGATTTTGTAACCAACTAAGTAATACTCAATTAATATCTGGGAGCTCTGGGTGGCCAAAATATGCATTCGAAGCGGCTTATGATTTTTCCCGGAAGCAACGCTAATAAGTAGCAACTAAGGTGTAATCAGGTAAGTATATGAGTGAAAATAACAAAATACCTCTCTGTTAGTAAATATATTGAGTCATCTTCCTCATCAAAGTCAATTTCTTGTTCCTCCAACTTTTGAATAGCCCTGTGGAGTTTTGTTAATGTCTTTTCAAGTTTTTTAATGTGTCTCTGATGTTTTGTATCACATTCACTTGTATCTATGCCTGGATATACTGTAAAGAGAACTTACAAATAATAATAAATTTATAACTAGTATATATCATTAAGGGAATTTGTAATTTTGTTTGTTTGTATTTTTTTGTTTTACTTCTGACCAAAAGAGACTAATTAGAGTACTTTAGTTAAAACGGTGATGGAGTGATGCTTTTTAATGATTATTAGCTTTAGTCATCTTTTTAAATGCTTAAATAGAAAAAGAGGTTTCATATAAGTCATGTTTTTGTTTTTCTAACTAAAATTTTGTGTTCTTGTACTTCCTTGCCTAGAAAAGGTAATAAAGATAAAGATTATCTCATATTCAGACTCAAGAATACTAAAATCTACTATGGACAATTCAATATTTCCTCATATCTTTCATTTATTGCATTGAAGTTTAGAGTCCTTGAGTCAAGTCCAAACTAATTTTTGTCAGTAGGTTTACATGCTCTAAGTTTTAACACAAATTGAACGATGAAACAAGATTACAATATTTATTTTCTACACACTTCAGCATGGTCCACTTTTCTGGAAAATCATTAAAAAAATTAAATTAAACAAGAAATTGTTTTTACCGGCAGATGTTTCCTTTTGCGATGAAGTTCCTGGCCTAGCCATTTTTCTTTGTATATTTAACTCATTCACAACATCTCTAATGTAAAGATACATTTTGTTTGGAGCTGCTTCTATAGCTAGAATTTTACCAGATACTAAATCTAAAAACTCGTCAGAGTCTACATATTCTTTGGGACACTGCCTATAATAAGATTTGATTTTTTTTTCAACAATATACTGCATATCATTAGAGTTCTCAATACGGAAACAAGTATCTATAAATTTTTGGTATATAGGATTAAATTTACTTTCCTCAATGTCGGGTTCTTTTACCTTTTCTTTATTAGATACTTGTGTTTCAATTTCATATTTGTGTTTCTTTTCATTGACAAATTCTATTTTCTTGTTTATGCTTGCATTACTCTGGTTTTCTTTTATGTCGTCATCCTTATTGACATCCTTGAGTTTTTGAAGTTTATTATTTTCAATCATCTTAGATTGGGTGCCACATGGTTCATTTCTTGATTGGTCAATATCAATAGCATCTACTTCAACTTCTATCATACCCGCAATGTCTTTCACTATTTTAATATTTTCATAGTTCAACATCTTTTTACTTTGTTTTTCTTTTTGTTGGTTTAAGTCATGTTTCATACTTGAGGCACCTTTAGCAGGGCTATCATCAATTGTTATAGTAATACCTTCTGTTTGTTTCATTGTAGAAAATTTTACTGGGCTATCATCAATAGTTATTTCTATAGGTTTAATAGGTTCTAAGTTATTCTGTTCTTCCATAGAGATCATATCTACATCATTACTTTCTTTTTCCTGCAAATGTGTTTCAGTTTCTAAATCTTCAGGTTTTTTATACCACTGTGGTAGTGGTTTTAATAATATAGGTTTATTATGAATTTCAGCTGGTAGCACTATCTGCTGTACCAGCTTGGCCTTTTGTATAGGTATGCTTACAGTTTTAGAGGCTGTTGCTTTTTTAACAGTAATGCTTGATGGTAATTTTCTTAATAACTTTGAACCCATTGGATTAGGAGAATCGACATTGGTTATATTTGGAAAAGATCCAGAAGCAGTACTAACTTTTTTGGGGATAGGTTTAAGAAGTGAATTTTTAGAATTTACATGCTTAGCATGTAGTGGATTAATGCTGATTCTAGGGATTGTAACTGTATTTTTTATCCTAACATTCGGTATAACTTTCTTGGCTTTGACAGGTTTAATAGTTAAGCCTGGAAGTTTTGTGTGAGAAGGAATTCTAACCATAGCATTTGGCGTAACTTTTTTCTGAAAAAGAAAGGGGTTTTAAAGTAAAGGAATACAAATGTTTTGTCTAATTTGGATGGATAGAAATAGACTTCAAAATGTTTTATAAACCTTTTTCGGCACCGGTTCCATTTCATCATCCGACGAGCCCAACTCAATTATATCGGTAGACATTGTTGCATTGATATATATTAATAAATTAATCAAATTCTCCTCATCTCAAGAATACGTACGTACTACCAACGCATTACAATGCTTGACATTAAATATTTGTTAGATAAAAAACATAACTTCATGTCACTTTATTTATAATGGCGACTTCTGTGTAAAAAAAAAAAAACAACGAGTTACAAAAAAACAATGACAAGTGACAACATCAAAACACCAACGAACGAGTTAGGGCCGGTTTTTTGATCCGTAGTTAACTCAACTATTGGTAAAAAATCGTTACTATTAGTTAAATATCAGGAAAATGCGTTTTTTGATCCGTGGTAAGAGCATCCAATGGTAAAATATCTAACCATTAGTCAAAAAAAGTTAACTACTCAGTATCGGAGGGTTAAAAAAGATGGCCGCTGGTAATTTATATACTAACAGCTGTTTGTCACAGAAATCAAACTATGATAAATACGTTTATTACTATCTAATGATGAATTTAAACATATTGAGATACTTTAATTAATGAGACGATGAAGAAGGCGATAATATTATATGAGAATGTGTTAATGAGTGACCAAAAATATTTAGGCAATGTCATCCGCCATTAGAAACCTGGGATGATGTAGATTTTTGTCACTGTTACCCCCTATCGAAGGGAACAGTGCTCTGGATTGTTACTGAAATTGGGAATGATCTTAAACTGCCAATGAACAAGAGTATATATAGACAGCAGCTCATACCAACCTATTTTGCTTCATTACTAACTACAGAACCGCAGCAGTATATAATTAAGTATATTACTAATTCATTATGTGTTTTATTGCCTATAATATTAACTTATAATTATTATAATTAAATAAAATACAAGAACAAGAGTATATATAGACAGCAGCTCATACAAACCTATTTTGCTTCATTACTAGCTACAGAACCGCAGCAGTATATAATTAAGTATATTACTAATTCATTATGTGTTTTATTCCCTATAATATTAACTTATAATTATTATAAGTTAATATTATAGGCAATAGAATACATAATGAATTAGAGTTAATATTATTTATATATTACTAATAATATTAACTTATAATTATTATAAGTACATACAAGTATGTACTTATACTAAAAACTACAGCTACACATTAGTTAGGGACCTATGATATTCTTTAGGGCTTTTATTACATTTGTGAGTTAGCATCTATCTACTTTATTACAAGAATTTATAAATAAAACATTTGACTTGATTAATAAACTGTTTAATTATAACTTAAATACAAACCATTTTTATTAAAAAAACATTACAAAATTTACATGAAACCCTAAAGTAGCAATTAAATATTTTCTAATTGTTTCTTCTTGCATTTCACCTCAATTTGATGCAACTCTTTTTGCTGCTACATATATTTATTGTGCCTTTCTTCCATCTGCTGCATCACTTTTTGGTGCACCTCCTCTTTATGCAGTATGAATTTTTGGTGGGCCTCTCATTGGTGCAGCAAATGTTTTTGATGCTCTTCCTAAGCATAATTGAACAAATCATCCTCTCTTATTTGTCTTTGTTTCTAAACTCTTTTTTTTATCCGTGTGGATCATAATCCGCTTCCTTGTTTCCAAAGGGTTAAAAGATTTTTTCCTTTTGTTGTAGGACACAGCTATACAAGAATAAATATAAAAATGTGCCTACACCTTCATTAAATGTATATTAAATTTAACACTTCGGTGTCTAGACCCATCTGAGTTGAAAACGTCACAGAGATTTCCAAGCTGCATCTTTTTGTACATTGCTGCAGTGATCAGTTGTTTGCAGGTTACGACTGTGTAATCCTTGAGAAGCATCACCAGTTTGGCAGTTTCTTTTTTTGGCGAAGTTAGCAGTATGGTCCCTTTAACAAAACATAAATGTATTACTTTCTATTACGAAACACAAGATAAACCGGAATAAATAACACGAAAATATGTTTGAACTTACTTATTTGACCGTTGGCTGTTTGCGGACATCGTTATTTATATATTTAAGTATCGTAAAAAAGTGTAAACCGTATTAAATCACAGAAAAACAACTTTATTTATATCGTGTTATTTAGATTAATTTGACACTTCAAACTCTTCAAAGCGCAAATAACGAATGAAGATGGCAAAAATGGATTTCATTCACTCAATATGTCTAGTGTTGTCATACAAAATAAATGATCCCCACAAAAAAAGAACCACATTTTTTGGGATGTCATTGCTCATTGCACTGGCAACAAATTGACAAATTGTTAACTTTAACTATAGTTAAAAAAAGGCATTGAAAAACGCATTTACGATTTTACCAATGGTTATTCATTTAACTATAGTTAATGTAACAAATGGTAAAACCATTTTTTACTACGGATCAAAAAACTGGCCCTTAGACTGTATAGTCCTTTTCATGAAAGAAGTCCCTCAGACGCAGCGCTGTAATCGCGTGACGTAATGTTGCCATTTATGAGTCAAAAAATTACCTATTTTACATTTAGCATAATATGTAATTATCAAATAATACTATTTTCTGCATATTTCGATAAAACAATATTTCTGTTATGTAAAATATATATATGTATAATATATTTTTATTTACTTATATAAGCGGTGTTCTACCTACTTACAGGAAAAAGATGAGAAAATAGGGTAAAGAAAAGCATTACAATTTTTATTCAGAGTTTTATTGAATAATTGTGATCACCGGCCATAGGAACATCACTGTTTGAAGAGTGGATGGAAACAGAATCAGATTCTGTTTCAGTATCACTAGCCGTAGATATAATTGTTCTTTTTTATATTTCGACTCTACTCCGGGGTGACAAATTATTTCGAAGTACTCGCCGCAGCTATACCTTCTTTTGTAATTCATGTTATAGTTCTCTCTGACACACCTGCAATTAAATAATAAACAATAAAAAATAAAAGTAACTTTAAGTTTATGATGCTTATGTACTATTTAATATATATTTTAATTTCAGTTACCTAGTTTCATTCGTTATGTATTTGTTCAATTGTGTTGCAAAAATGAATTTATAACATAAAAGTCCCATCAATACAGCAAAAAATTATTATGTGGCAACTCTAAAAAGTACCTGTAATGGCGGCGACTCTCTCGACTCTTCCGAACATTGTTTAGTGGTAGGGATGTGAAAAAATAATCGATTACTAAAATAATCGATTTTTTTAAAAGTAAAAATCGATTTTTTCACGCGATTTTTATCTTTGAAATATTCGATTAATAATCGATGATTTTTATAATTGAAAATCAATAATAGTCGATTTTTCATCTGCCACCTCCCGACATTATGTCTGGTCTTTTATAACCCGGACCTCGAACTATTAGGGATATTCGATATACAACGATGTTTACAACGCGATACATTGAATCTGATTCTGATGTATTGATATACTCGATGCATTGATGTTTTTTTGTAAAACATCCAAAGGACGATAAAACCAGTTTGAATGGAACACTATAATTTAAAAGTAAAATAAATTTATTCAGCAGCACAAGACTACATACAATTAAAAAGACAACAAAAATACTGCAATGTGCTACTGAAAAGGCATACACTCAGCATTTATCAAATTTCACCAAAAATCTATCAAAACGAGATTTAGTTGATTTCGATTTTGATTATTCTTAAACGTTAATTTGTGTTTATAATTTATATTGTTTATTTTTAATTACAAAAAACTATGAATAATAAAATATTTATGGTGTTTATTTTGAAATTAATTCAAAAATTAGGAAAAAATCGATTATTATTTTAAGAAAAATCGATTATTTATTAATCGATTTTTCATGCTATAAAAATAATCGATTAATAAAAAATCGATTTTTTTTTAATGCAGAATGTCACATCCCTATTTAGTGGTATTAAAACACCTTGATTCTTTTGTTCCGCTTCACAGAACTCTTTCACTTTCAATATCATTTCTCGAGCCGAACTTTTTACAACTTTTGGCATTGTAAACAATCTTTAAAATGCACTAAGCTAGTTAAAAACACAAAAATCTACCACAACAAACGAACTTGATAACATCGACAAACGACAATATGGCCGACCTGTCAAATTTAGTTCCAAAAATTTCCGTGGGACTTCTTTCACATTACATTATTATATAGTACATAGAGTCAACGCATTGTAGTGCACTAGCGCTATCTGGAGGTAGTTGTGCTAACCACCGTTTTCCAATTACAGCACTAGAGCGCATTATGCGGCATAATGCTCAACGTTGAATGTTCCAACTACAGCAACGCTTCGCACAATTGAGCACTCTCAAAAGTAATGCTCTCGCGTGCTTCTCGCAATCAATACCAACACAGTGACAGAAAATTGACCAGTGTTTTTCTTTAAGTTGGCATAGATCGAAATTTTCGTTAGTAAATATTATTTATGGTTGAAAAATTTGTAAGGCTTTCGTTTCGTCGTAGATTTTGAAAATAATTAAAGTTATTTCAAACTGCTAAAAAAAAATAAATATAAGTATGGATGAAGGTATAAATAGTTACTTTTTTTTATATTACACATTTAAAATATGAATACTAATTCATTTTAAAATTCGGATCTGTAAACAAATTTATTTTGCAGGATTATACTTTTGTAAACATTGCAATGGTTTTGAAAAAGTATATATTTTTTTTAGAAATCATTTAAAAAAATTACTCAAAACGTAAATGATGTAAACTTCTTACATGAAACTAAATATTTTACTGTTAATTTAGCTTGTTAAAACCTTATATTCTTTAAAGGTTTTCTCTTATTTCAGTAAAAAAATGTTAATGAAATAATCAAAATCCAAATTACTTAAAATAAGCGTAAATAGTTTTCAACCAATTATTATTGTTTACCACATTATTTATACATTAATGAGGTTGCTAACTCTATTCAGAACATTTTTTTTTTCTCAACACTGACTTAGCGCACTCTGCTGATGCATATAAAACTAATTCACGTTCCAATTAAGCTTCAGCATAATGCGGCATTGTGCGGCACTGAGTCGCATTATGCTCTGTAATTGGAAAACGCACCATTATACTACCAATAATAGTGCGCTTCCCGAGATAGTTCCCTTCGTCGTTATTTTGGCCCCACTGTTTGTAAAACACCAAACAGTAAACACGATTTGTCGAGTTCCATATTTTTTTCCGAATTTTTGAGAACTTTGTGCGTTTATTCATGCCAAAAACACTAAAAAGTGGTGAAGGGAGATGGTCTTGAAGGCGAAATCGTTTTGTGAAAAAGAAAAACAAAACGTGTATTTAATGTATATGTCGCAGCCTAATTAGCCGTTCAATTAAAAGCCTAGCTATTAATTTTTATATTTATTGATTATTTCCTAATTTTTGAATTTTAAAGTTTTAGAATAATAAGCCCCAACCACTTTCACGCGCTGGAAACAGTTATTTAAAAAAAATATTAACTAAAATAAATATACTATATATAACCATCGATTGAGACAGACTGATTGTGGAACTACTAGTGTAAACACAGCGAGATTTGGTCGAACGTGAAAAACGTCAGATTTGAAAAAAGAATCGATTATTTTTTATAATTGAAAATCAATCATAGTCGATTTTTCATCTGCCACCTCCCGACATTATGTCTGGTCTTTTATAACCCGGACCTCGAACTATTAGAGATTTAAATTTATTCAGCAGCACAAGGTTACATACAATAAAAATACTGCAATGTGCTTCTGAAAAGGCATACACTCAGCATCTATCAAATTTCACCTAAAATTTATCAAAACGAGATAAGGTTAATTTAGATTTTGATTATTCTTAAACGTTAATTTGTGTTTATAATTTCTATTGTCTATTTTTAATTAATAAAACTATGAAAAATAAAATATTTAAGGTGTTTATTTTGAAATGAATTAAAAAATTAGGAAAAAATTTATTATTTTTTTAAGAAATATCGATTATTTAATAATCGATTTTTCTTGCTAAAAAAACAATTGATTAATAAAAAATAGATATTTTATGCAGAATGTCACATCCCTAGACTCGAACCGAGACCGGAGCGAAATCGTACCGCGAAGATCAACATAGTGTTAATCGAGCCTTACGAGTAGTAGGTACAAATTATATTATTGTTAACATTTAACACAAGACCCGACACAATCTCGATTAAGTAAAGGCAAGCGGGTCTTTTTTTTTTTAATTTTATGACCTGGTAACATTGACCTTTAAGTCATGTCATGCAAGCGGGTCTGTAGAACTATGGGTATGTTCCGATATACACTGCGACCACTGTACAGAGTACCGTCAATTTAGTATACTGTGAAACCGTTTCTCTATAGCCAGCTATACTGGTTACAATTTAAAACGGAACGCAGTCCAATATACTAGTCAGCTAGTCAGTCGACACAGTTTTCAAATGAGTGCATCAAAGTTTTTCAATTCAACAAGAAAAACTATTATTGGAGTATTATCGCATTAAAAAAATCTATATTAATATTAACTGTCAATTGAATTAATACTACAAAGAAAGTAAGTATTTTTTAATTAGAAAAAGTCTGTTTATCATAACTCAACTTATATTAACTTTCTGTATTACTCATTATAATTAATATTTATTGTTTCATTAATTAGTCCAAGCTAATTCTTTAATTAGAATTTTAAATGTTTGTTATTAAACTGTAAGTTATATCAGCCGTTAGGCATTCAAGTGGTTTTGATTGACCACGTGATCAAAGCACTGCGAGTACCTTACCTTGAAAACGCCAGTGCTCGCAGTAGAAGTATAGCGGGGATTTGTGACGTCATATATTTCCCTAGGACGCTGCGGCTGTATACTGGCAGTCCATAGCGGAACGAATTTTTGAACAGTGGGAGCACTATACAGTACTCGCAGTGTATATCGGAACATACCCTTAGTTCCACAGCCGCAATTAATACAAAAGCTAAGACTACACTCTAGAGTATCTAATCTAGGCTGTTCACAGCTTGTCATTGTCAAGTTGTCAACAAATAGCTGTCAATTGTCATATCTATATGGGAGTTATTGTGATTTTTCCACTGAAATCTGAATTAAAAATATAATAATTAATATTTTCGTGTATTTATTTCGCATTAAAGACAATGATTAAACTGTTCTCACTAAAACAACAAAAAAAGGATGAAGAAGGCTCTGCACGAGCAGGTGGATCACAGAAAAAAGCGTCAGCAGCACAGTTGCGAATCACAAAAGGTATATTCTTATAAATTTACTGTTATTCTACTTAAAATCCCAAATATAATTTACAATTGTTTATAAATTTTTGATAGTTATTCTTTGTTACAACGCTTTTTCTAATTACAGATTTAAATGAATTAAATTTACCCAAGACATGTAGCACAGAGTTCCCTGATCCAGATGATTTACTTAATTTTAAATTAATAATTTGTCCCGATGAGGGCTTTTATAGAGGAGGAAGATTTGTATTTAGTTTTAAGGTAAGACTGATGCAACATAACAATGCATAATTTGTGTGATACTTTTAAAATGTAATATTTACTTATTTTATCATAAATAACACATTTATGTCATTCATCAACAATAAATATGGCTAATTATCTTCATATATTTATTCTGAATCAATTCTAAAGTTCAGGATATTTTTTAAATTCTTTATTAAAGACAGTTTTAAACATAATTTAAATTACATGTCCATCTTAATTCTTTTTTTTCCTTATAGGTAGGACCAAATTATCCCCATGAACCGCCCAAAGTCAAATGTGAAACTTCAGTATATCACCCTAACATAGATCTAGAGGGCAATGTTTGCTTAAATATACTCAGAGAAGACTGGAAACCAGTACTAACTGTTAATTCTATAGTCTATGGATTACAGTATTTATTTTTGGTAAGTATTTATAATATGATATTTTGCCAGATTAAATGCGTCAAATCAAAATTATTTATAAATTAAGAGTAAAAACAAGATTTAAAAGAATTTCATCCTAAACATAAGTGTCAATGTGCCTCTAAGAATAACCTCCATTATTCAAAGTTACCATATCTGCATATTTCTGTAATGCTGATTTAACATTGTTGGAGAAAATAAAATATAAGTTAATTTTGTCATGTCTTAGGGGCTTAGGTATAATGTTATACAATCAAGAAAAACTATTTTTGTGATGAATTATCTATCATAGAATTAGAGTTGAACAGGTAGAAGGTTTTTAAGACTAGAGTAAAATATATAACTTAGTCACCTTGGCGACTCACCCGCTAAAACTGCCCTTTGTGGGCATCCCATAGGCTTGTTTGCCCCCTATGCTTTATAAGTAAAGGACATGTTAAATTTATTCTATTTTAGCAGATTACTATTATTAGCCTAATTTTCTCCAAATAAACTAATAATTTTACTCTTAGATTATTAAGAATATCAAAGTCTACCTATGTCATGTAGAAATAATTAGTGTTAACATTAACAATATTTTCATAGGAACCAAATCCAGAAGACCCATTGAATAAGGAAGCCGCAGACGAGCTTCAGAGCAACCGAAGACTGTTTGAGCAGCATGTGCAAAGAGCTATGCGTGGTGGTTATGTAGGAACCTCCTACTTTGAACGGTGCCTCAAGTGAACATAACTCAGCTGTAAATTATATTAACACTATACAAATAAATAAATCTCACAATTCTCTATCTTTATAACCATAGTCCTATTGATACTAAGTGGTATATATTTTTAAATAATACCACTCCTACTGCCCATTTTAATTCATAGATCGCATTTAGAATACTCAGTGAATTTGAGAAAATGGGGACAGTGAGTAACAGCAGCGTGGGAAATACGATACAAACACGTTTGTCGTCCATATTATACATATAGAGTGGCATGAAGTGAGGCGTGAGCAATGAGTGAGTGAGCAGCGAGCGGTGTGACTCAGTTGGGGTTCAACCCGTATCGCGTACACGCTCGTGGCGAGTCAGTACCATTTCGATCGTTGAGCAGTTCTCACGTTGCCACGCTACACTTTCTAAAGTCTTGTATTGGGCGGAGTGATTTCGACACGCTATACGGTTACGAAAGTTTGCGCGATGATATACAAGTGAGAGCTAACGGCCGGAGGGTAACGCTCATCGCGCACGGTGAGCTAGTTTAGACCAAAAGACATTCGAAACTCGCAAGGGACGGGGGGGCGCGACGCCGTCAGACACGCGGGTGCAACATCCTTACACATTTATTGTGAGAGAACTATAGAAACCAATTTTTAATGTGTCAAGTCAGTATAGCTCATTGCTGCTACGTCAGATCGCTTAACGCCTCAAGTAGGAACTACAAGGTTATGCAAATGAGTTCTGAACGCTTCTATACCAGGGGTAATCAAAAGACCATTCACAACTTTAATAAACTTTAACGTACGGTTTCGTATAGCCTAGTGTCATAGCCTATCCTTTTGTTATCGTTTTGTCACGATCGCTAATTGCTAATTACCGAGGAGTGTGATAAGGCGCTTGTGTTAAGTGTTCGGCGAGCGACAAGCGGCAATTATGGCGAGCCCTCAGGAGGAGACCCTGCTTGCGCGCTGCGAAATTCCCATTATTGACCTAGCACACATAGGTGAGCATACTTTTCTATACTCCAAAATTTTACCACAAGTTTATTAAATTTCTGACCTAACTGAAAAAAAGCTGTTACCTGCCATTCAAAAGTTCCATCTCTACAAAGGCCTATACCTGCGCATATCCCCAATTATAATCGAACTCGGATGCATCCGACAGCTGTGCAATGCTTTCGATGGGATATTTGAAACTCAATATTAGGTAGATAAATTTTAAACTCGATCAAGTTCAAAGACCTTAGCGGGTCAGGTTTCGCCGTTGAACCACCTATTTCCCCTTAAAATAACAGTGTACTAATACAGTATGAAATCATTCGATTTCTTAGTAATGCAGTGAATGAAGCACTGTAAGTCAGACTAATCCAACTGCAGTAAATCTTATCTTCGCTGCTCAAGCAAAGAAATGGGACACGGATTAAACATACTTTGTGAATATTTGGCTCGTTATGAAACCGAATATAGATAAATAAACAGTTGAACAGCAAGATTGCATATTTGTTAGTCTTATAAGTATTATGAAAGTCCCGAAGTATCTAGTTGAAAAAGTACGCAATAGAGTTTTAGGAAACTGATGATTTTGCATTGTTATAAGTTATAACATAGTTGGAAGTTTGAGAACATTTTATAGTCTCAATTTCAACATTTATTAATAACTAGGTGCCCCGGCTTCGCACGGCTGGAAGCTTATATTTTAAAATATTTCGTTTATAAATACAGCCTAGCCTACTCACAGATAATGTAGTATTCTAATAATTATTAATGATTTTTTTTATATCGGTATTCGGTTATGTAGTTTTTTAGTTTATTCGGTCGAAACATACAAATCATTCCTCTTTAGAATATTAGTATAGATAAATCAAAAGAATACTTTGTTTTGAATAATCCAATATTGAATTTGTTATTCAAAATAATCAATCAATGATAAAAGTCAAGTGATAAAAAATTCACGAACAAATGACTACCTTGAAATCGTATTATATTAAATAAAATGAATAATATGAGCCATGTACGTATATTTATAAAGAAACCTTACGCGAGGGCAACGGCCGTTGGAACCCTATGTGGGGCTAAGGAGTCCCTTTTTTCTCTTACACGCAATGCCGCTCTAAGTAATACAAGTTCCATAATTGCAAACAATGAAATACTCGACTTCGTCGATACTTGAATATAAATAGGAGGTTGTTGCTAAAATCGACTCTTAATTGTGTATTTCTGATATTTGGTTACCTTAATGGTGCCTTTTTTTCCTACTCTACCTTTCTTGTCCACATGTTCTTAGAAATTATTATTATTTATAAATATTGGAATTGTTGTTTAGGACTCTTGGCGTGCTAATAAACTCGTTAATATATTTATTATAATATCTCGGATATTCGAACTCAGGACTAGGGACGAACTCATTGAATCAAATACGAATGTGAATATTATCTGTATTTCTCGGAACCTAATCAGTCGTTGATGTATTGTAAAACCTTGGTTTGTGTTATTTGAATTTGCCCCTGCAAAAGAACGCTAAAGGTCAGTTACTGCCAAATTAAAAGGTCATGTTTGTATGTAAAAACTCTAATTGTTCAATTATATGCATACATTTTAAAATATCATACATATAGAGATTATTCTTGCCAAAAACAAAGTGACCGACAAATATGGAAATCGTCATATTTAGTTTAAAAATTTGTATCATTCTTTTAGTATTATTATCACAAAAGTTATATAATAAACAAAAGATATAACTAATGTCGAAACCTATTAAATATTAAAATTAATTTTCGGTCTTAAATTATACTATTTTAATTATGTAATTTACTTATTAATCTAGACACGACCCCACGTTTAAATTAGGACCTTATTATATCAGTACAAGGCTTATTTTTCTACCGAGCGATTATACACGCTATCGTTTTCGTCTACCTCTCGAATTATTATCACCGGCTACATAGTTACATTAAATATAGTTAAACCCTCAAGTATATTTTATAAATTACTACCTGGGTATGTCTTAATCGTTAATATTAGTGAAGACGCAATACACGCATATTATTAAACCAACGATGAGAGTATGGCGGACAACGTATATAAATAATTCTTATAATAAATTTAGAATTGAATATAACCTTTTTATTTCACAACTGCTTACGTCTGGCAAATGACGAAGGTCGCATGCTAAATACGTAGGCCTATGATAAGATACAAGATAGGTAGTCAACCTCATGGCGATAACTGTCAAAATATAAACCAGTTCAAAAATCATTATATTATGTTCTGATTGGATTGCATTTTCAAATTTTTTGAGACTTTTTCTGGACGGAATGGCCTAGTAAAAAATAGTCAATTCCCGTTAATCGATTAATATAATAGTTTAAGTCATTACCGACAAAAAATTCAGTCATTTGAAGTAAAAATAATATTGATATGAGAACAAATTAATTTCGGGTTTCATTTTTACGTCCAATATTTTAAAGAAACATTTCTATCTTCACTCTATGCTTAGAAAACTTATTTTCTATTTCACATCATTTCATAACACATTTCATAACACTTATGTTATTACAATATTTCCAAAACACTCGGCGATGATATGAAATATTATAATTGATTGACATTAAACATTTATTCATATAATATATTAATAATCTATTCTAGTATACCTACTGAGAAAACGTTTCCGGTCATCCGTTAATAATAAGTAGGTCACTAATAAATGTGCCCGTTAAATTGTATGACGAAATAATCCGTTACCTGTACAGATGTCACTGGAAAACGATGTTAACTGGTCAGTCATGAACTTATGACGAAAGTACTAAAAGCGATATCGAACTTAGGTATAAAAAGAAATCGACGACCAAGTGTTTTTTCAAGGCCTTTATTTAAACAGTACCCATACAGTTAAGAACATGTAGGACTTAGGTACTGATTTGTATTTCTTTTTCCTTTGTCCGCTTTTATAGCCAAGGTGAAAATATAATAAGATTTTCTTTTTATACAAGGACACGGCCAAGTTCTTTGTTAATCAAAGATTTCAGTAGGCTCTATATCGGGTAGTTCCGACGTGGCCGTGTTGACTTCTGAGTCCTCTGGATCGCCATTCCACCACGGAGTCCGTGGGTGGGATATAACCTATAAACTTAAAAATATAAATATGTACTTAAATAAAAAACCTCGGTGATTTAAGAGTGACAGAGAGTTTATTGCCAGTTCTTCTCGTCCGTTCTACGCCCTTGATTTAAGAACTGGCAGTAGAAAATTTAGAACCGTTAATTTTTTTATACTGACGTTCATATGTGTGTACATTAAGTTACCTGTAAAAATAAATTATATTTTTATTTGTGGCAAGAGTGAACTTACCTACTCCTTAACTCCTCTTTCGGTTGTGAGGCGTAATGTTTGTGCTGCTAAGATATACCTAGTGTCGTCGTTCATCATTAGAGTCATGTTAATGCTAAATTTAAACTTGGTTTAGCCAAAGAGTAATTATTCAGCTTATTTCAACTCCCAAGGTCTATTTAATTTTGCAATACGAATAATGTTCTTACAAAAATCAAGTTTCCGTCTATGACAATTGTAAGACATCAAATATTTGCTCACTACCAAATAAAAGAATGCCATTGTTTGTCTCGCCATTGTGTTCGAACACGCCAATGATAATGTAAACCATTGTATTGAATACCATATGTGTAAAACGTGTTAATGTCGACGTCAAAGAAGCCATACCAAATCGGAATACAAAAATTAATAAACGATTACATTACGTTATTTCGTGCTAAAACATAAAAAATAAATTAACAATTATATAAAACCACCATTTAATACCTAAAACAGTTCTTAATTTGAATATAGTATAAGTGTAATGATCCCCTTAAGGTTGGGTAAAGAAGGAAGCTCACATATTATCTTAAAAGAAAAAAAAATCAGAAAAAAAGAAAGATGTCAGGAATTTTCGATTATTGGAGGTATTGAAAAACCAAACATATATTCTGGTGGAATGGTAACGCAACTTAGATTTGTGCAACGCGAATTCC